CAGCTAACAGACGATATTAACAATTTTTACCTACACGGAAGAGAAGTCCAACACCAAGAGTCTAAATCAACACTTAGCGAAACGGGCTAACGGCTACTTTAGCACAGAACTGGCAAAAGCGATCTGTTCTACGCCATGTTATCTGTACAAACGACATGTCACATGAAAGCTGAGATTCCACAGATTCCATTGGTGTAAGTCTCATCACTGTACGAACAAAACTCACTGAACTAGCAGCCAGGAAAGAGCAAGAAAACAACTTCACTTTACGTAGCCATGATGATAGTTATGTCTTACCTTTGCTGTTTTGTGATCAAGAGTTGTGTTCAAGGGCATAAAAACGGTTAATCCAATGTCTCTGTGTAACTTTAAAATGATTACTGATAATCCATCATTACAATTATAAATAATAAACGCAATATAATGGTTAGCCGACCGGACCTTCCGGTTTAGGAGGTGTGCACGCAGCGTCTCGTTTTAACTGAATAATGGTCATGTTTACATGGATTTATGAACTGCCCCTAATTACCGCCCCCCCTTCCAGAGACACACTGTCAAACACACTCATACCTGCTTGGTATGACATTGAAAAAGTTACATTAAATAATAAATACAAATACATTTAATCTTCACATCTTGTAATCATGTCTATCATTTTGAGCACCAAATTATTGCAAAGTATCGATAAGAGTATAGAAAAATTCCGGTATCGATAAGCAGTATCGGTATCGATCAAATCCTAACAATGCCCATCCCTAGTCTACAGTGATGGCTCTGTCACAACATGGTGGATGCTCTAAAAGTCACTACAGAAAGAAAACGCTTAATAATGAGCTTCTGATAGAGCGGTGATGGCTCAGACATGAACGAACTTCCTGCTCCTGTGTGTTATCACAGGCGCCCTGAACCACGCTGCCAGTAAGAAGCTGGACCTGGAGGCCTGGTTCCCGGGCTCCGGGGCCTTCAGAGAGCTGGTCTCCTGCTCCAACTGCCTCGACTACCAGGCCCGGCGCCTCCGCATCCGCTACGGACAGACCAAGAAGATGATGGACAAGGTGAGGGCACCTTCGGAACACTGTGTTGTCTCTACACACTCATTTAGTTGGCCGCTGATATTCTTCTTCTTCCTCTCTGTCTCTATACAGGCTGAGTATGTGCACATGCTGAACGCCACCATGTGCGCCACCACCCGTGTGATGTGCGCCATCCTGGAAAACTACCAAACGGAGGAAGGCATCGTCATTCCAGAGAAGCTCCAGCCCTTCATGCCTCCTGGTAAGCTGAATGCAAAATGATTGTAAAATATAATAAATGACAAATAAATACTGTGAAGCCATTTTTAAAGAAATACAGGCAGGGTGAATAATTAGGAGGAGCAAGCTAGGCTAACGAGCATAGTGTAGTTTAGCACACAAAAGCTACCTTGGCTTCCTCCAATATCAAAACATTTCGTAGACGTCAACATGTCAATTAAAAAATAGTTCTTAAGGGGAATTATTTTTACTGAACGTTGTGACGGGAGAGGTTTAAGTTTCTCAGACAACAGATTTTCCCGCCCAAATTGGTAAATATCGGCTAACGGAAAGACTGGTACTTTCTTTTTTTCCATCCAGGTATGACGGAGATCATCAAGTTTGTGAAGCCGGCTCCCATCGATCAGGAGACCACTAAGAAAGCCAAGAAGCAGCAGGATGGAGGAGGAGGAGGAGGAGGCGGCAAGAAGAAGAAGCAGGGAGGAGGGGGAGGAGACCAAAACCTGCCCAGCGCCATGGAGACCATGTCCGTCAACGAATCATAGACTGCCTCACAAACACACACAAAGAAACAGATGGAACAGAGCCTTGTGTGTTGTCCTTATAACTAAGTAGCTCTGTCCCATCTGTGTCTATCATGTC